ACATGGAGATTTTTCCCCCCTAATGTATTATACATCGGAGATCATACCCCCCCCTTATGTATTATACTTGGAGGATCATATCCCCCCTTATGTAATATACTTGGTGATTCAGTATCCCCCTTAGGTATTATACATGGAGATCATATTCCCCCTTAATGTATTACAACATGGAGATTTATATCCCCCCTTACTGTATTTATACATGGAGATTTCATATTCCTCCCTTTATGTAATTAGTGTCTTGGGAGATCTTATCCCCCCTTATGTATTATAACTGGAGATTCCATATCACCCCTCTTATGTATTTATTCATGGTGATCAAATCCCCCCTTTTCTCCATTATACTTTTAGATCATATCCCTCCTAGGTATTATTACATGGAGATCATATCCCCCTCTTATGTATTATACCTGGTGATCATATCCCCCCTTATCTCCTCTTCTCAGTAGAGAATAAATTCAGTTCCTCTAATCTTTCCTCATAGCTGATCTCCTCCATGCTTGTTATCAGTTTGGTTGCCCTTCTCTGTACTTTCTCCAGTTCCCCAATGTTTTTTTTGTGAATTGGTGCCCAAAACAGAACTGCATATTCCAGATGAGGTCTTACTAATGATTTGTACCGGGGGGAAATGATATCTCTCTCTCTGGAGTCTATACCTCTTTTAATACAAGAGAGGATATTCTTACATCAGTGGGGTGCCTACGATATGTCTTTATAAGGTAGAATCAACGTACTAAAAATGTCCATCTTGCTGATTGCTGTACCTAAGTCCCAATTACACTCTCTAGAATGCCTTTTTTTCAGCTGTATTTGGCATAACAAAAGACCCAGGATAGGGAGATCAGTTCTTCTGTCTCCTAGATCTAGAGGAGGCTTAGGAGCCCCGGATTTAATCAAGTACTACTAAAAATTGAACTACAAGTCAGTCTGTTCAAATCCATCTTTCTTCCTTATTAGATACCTCTGAGATGATATCCAAATTCATACCTCATACTAACTTGCTAAAGTCTATGATTTTTACTGTAAGAATGTGGCATGAGTGTAACAGGACCTTTAATTTAGCACCATTGGGCTCTTACTTAACAAACGTCTTGTACAGCCCTGCCATGCCCAACAGCTTGTCTTTTACTCAAATGATGCCTTGGGCACAAGCACACATATTTCAGTTACTTCATTTAGTCAACACAGTTACCGACAAATTTGTATCATTTGGGGTAATAAGAAAAAATCCTTGCCCCCTCAGTCCTTCTATGCATAGCTCCAATGTTATCACTTTTTTAATACTTTGAAACCCTCTTTAATTTTAGACCGCCCCACTGACTTTGAACGCATATGTATACAGGGTCCAGCTGAGACAAATATAATATCAATGCTATATAAACTGCTTCAGGCTACTGCCCCTCTGGAAGAGGATCACACATATACATGAGGAAAATGGGCGGATCCTCTCCACCAACCTATATCTTTAGCCAATTGGCAAATGATTTGAGAAGCTGCTTCCAAGACTTCCAGATGTGTAACCTTTAAAAAAATATATATACAAAGTCATGATGCATTGGTATAACCTCTGTAAGTTTACAAGCTACAAACCCATCGATATCTGAAACATGTTGAAGATGTTCTGGCAATACTGGATCCCTGGTGTGACAGATTCAGTCAAGACAGGGTCTTTTGGAGGGGACTGCAGGATAGTCTCTTGCCTACTGACCATGAGTCCTGGCATCTGAGGGGTCTGTGTGTTTCATGGACCATCTAGCACTCCACTTGAGTGCTTCCTCGCTGCAGGGACACAGGACTAAGGAATTATAGCCGGGCATTGCACCCAAGTACTAGACAACACTAGCTTAGCTGCAAACTGGAACACTTTATTGAACAGAAATACAGGTTATTATATACTCCAGAAATAGCAGCAGTCCCCACATGAACAATAAAAGCAAATATTGCATATTGGGATAAACAGAGATTTCTGATAAATTATTTTGTCCCAAGTTGAGGAGGTTCTCCAACCCAGTCAGCAGGAAGGCCCCATATTTCCTCTGACCATTAACCTGTATAAGATTAGCATTACACCCTTTCCATCCACAACAGAAAGGAAGCTGTGTTATTCCAAGCCTCGCTCTCTTAGCATTCATCACTGTCAGGGATCCCGGGCGCTCGGCGGTGCGCGCATGCGTCACATAGCCCTCGGCGATCGCGGTGGCGGCCACGAATGCGCAATAGCGATCGCGGCCGCACCAATGGGAGAACAGGGCGCTCTATTTAAACCTGCCCTGTGCATCTCCAAGTTGCCACAAGGTCTTGTTCCTGTTCCTATAGTATGTTTCCTTGTTGCCAAACTCTGCCTGTTCTGATTTATGCTGACCCTCTCCTGCTCTGACCCCGGCTCGTCCCTGACCATCCTTCTGCCTGATCCTTGGTACCGCGTTGCCCGCTACCTGCTGAACCTGGCTTGTGACTCCGACCATTCTCTGCTTGCTCCTCCTGTACCACGCTGCCCGCACGATACCGACCCGGCTAGTCTGACCTCGCTCACTCCTAGCAGTCATCCATCCCGCTCGGATCAGGACCTGTCATCCCCTTCACAGAAGGCTCATCCGGGGCACACACCCTCAGCGGGACCCCCCTGCCACCGCCGGGGGTGCCCAGGAGCGCGACCTGGTTCCAGTCTTGCACCAAGTCCATCCCCACCATCAGGGGCTCTGGTGAAAAGGCAGACTGGGACTTAGACTCCGCGTCCTGGGAAACCCTGTGCTGTGGACCACTAGAGATCCCGTTGGGCGGAGCCTGACAATCACATTGTTGTCTATCTTTAGAGAATGATCTGTTCTCTCCATGGGCCATACTCAGTGGTTAGAAGGCTAGCCTCTAGTCCCCTCCAAAAGCCCGTCCTGGATTGTCACATTCCCCCCCCCTCAAAAGTAGACTAACCAGGTCCCAGACCTCCATATGGTCTGGAAATGGTTAGTTGGACAGAGTGAACCCACATAGTCAGCCCACACAATATCTATTCTTGGCATCAGGGAAGAGTTGTCGTCGGTAGGTGTGGGGAGGAGGTTGTGGACTTTCTGTCTGGCTGCCAGAGCTTCAGCTGGAAAATCTTTACCTTTCTGGGGGCTCGGTCTGCTGCTGGGGAATGGAGCTAGCTGCCCCAGCTCCCTGGAGCTGTGAAGACACGGTAGGTGCTGGACAGAGGCGAGCCACACTCTGCTCTGTTGCCAGTGCTTCAGCTGGGGAACCCACATCCTCCACTCTGGCTGACTGTTGAGGAGGAAGGATGACCACCTCCTCTCCCAGACTGTGGATCTGCTGCTTGGGAGGGAGGTCAACCGTCTCCTCTCTGGGACTGTGTAACTTCCACTGTGGAGGTGAGCGGTTGCTACATCTCCTGTACCCTCATCTGGCTGCTGGGATGACATTTCTCTGGTACTGTCTCCCTGGTGTATGGCTCCTTGCTGGGGAGGGAAAATAGTTTCCTCAGCTCTGGCTGATTGTTGGGGAGGGAGGATGACATCTTCTCTCCTGGACTGTGGATCTGCTACTGGGTAGGGAAGACGACCACCTCCTCACCCGGTCGTGGAACTGCTGCTAGGGAGATGAAATGCTGACTACTTCTCCATGAGGTTCCCGTGGTGCTGTAGGTGTTGGGCAGAGGTAGTAGACCCTCTGTCCCGCTGCCAGCACTTCAGTTAGAGTTAGGAGCTCCACTGTATTGGCCTGATGCTGGGGAGAAGGGCTGCCCACCCTGGCTCCCTGGAGCTCTGGAAGTGTTGTTGGTGCTGGGCAGAGGTTAGTGGTGCTTTGCCCTGATTTCCTAGGGCTTCCATTTAAAGGCATCCCTACAAGTTCCAAAAAGCTAGGTGAACATATTCTGACTGCTGCAAGATGTTTAATCCCAAAGCATTGGAACTCAGTCCCATCACAAAACCAACTCATTACAACTATATCTGCAAGCCATGGAATACCTAACTGCCCTGACTGGGAAATAACTTGGCCAATTTAAAAGAGTGTGGGATTCATGGGACAACTCCATTTTTGGTTCTATCCCCTCATCATCCCTATACCTCTACACAACACCCATTGTACCTTAAATATATATACTTAGCAGGTCCTTTCATATCATGCTGTGTGAGATACATGTGGATTGTAACTGGTGGATACCTACAAGTATGCTCAATTTTTTTCCTTAGTTATATGTTGTTTCCACATTTTAAGACTCATTTTCTTTTCTGTTATGTCTTATACCGTCTAGTTGGTTTAAGTCCTGTATTTCATCATTTCATGACCTCTGGGCTAAAGCCACCTATCTGTATTGTAGATAGGCCTGACTTTTGAATATGACTGCTTGAATTATACTGTACTTACATGTCTGTATTACCGTGACATGTGTATGGGGATGTTTACTTTATGTATACTGTACATGTTAAATCTTTAATAAAAAATTATAAAAAAATAAGTATACATATGATTAAGCATACAAGAACTCTGGAACCAATATGAGCGAAGTCTATTTTCTATTTCCCAATGCAAAAAAAAATAAAAAAATTCCATACAGCCAGGAACAGTGATTTTTAAATACTTAAAGTGAAACCTTTAAAATTTCCAATTCCTCAAAATAACATGCCTGGGGGTGTCCTAATCCTGCCTGTGAAGATGTGCGTCTCTGTGATCTGCAAAAAGTGCTGTAGCAGAACTGACAATTACCAAGGGAAAACGCTTTGATATTGCCAGCAAATTAGATTTCATTGCTGGCTTCTTTAAAAAAAAGAGCACCCAGATCCCTACAAAGGTGTGCTATGTATTTTGAGGGAACTTTGGAGAATTCTTTATGCTGTTTTTTTCATAAATAAGTCAGTAGAGAAATGTCATTTGCCTGCAATTTAAACTGTATAATTTTTGCCTTTGTGGCACAACCTACACAATCTTTGAGTTTGATGTGGATTTTAAGGAAGACCACACAAAAAAGCATGGGTTACTCCTAAAAATCCATAACAAACCCCTAATCTGAGAATGCAGCCTGGTTGGTAAGGAACGGAGGTGGGTTCTCCTCCTGAATCATACCATACCAGGATCCCCCCAGCAAAGCCTCTTGTCCCCATATTAATGAGGACAGGACTTCTCCCCCAAATACCAATGGTTCGTAGGAACATGGCAGGTGCCAGCACCCACTGCTTCCTTAGGAGCCATTAGTTATGATGCTTGACTCTAATTGAACAAGGGGGCTGACCAGGCAAAAGTTCAGTCTGAACCGAGATTTAGACAGAACCTTTAGCTCATCCCTAGTGACAGCAAATGGTGAGCATGAGGAATCACTAAGGACCAAATGTATAAAGCAGTAAATGGGACTTTCACAGGCTTCCACTGAAGTGAATAAATCACTGTAAGCACATGTAGCTGGGAGAATCACCTGCAGCGATTATCTGTTGAATGTCAGATTCACTGATTTATACATATACCCCCAAGTTTTCACACCAAACTGAGTTACTGCTATGCTGTCAATAGCATTTATTGTGACCAGCCCTGAATAGTCAGATTCATACACACACGCTATTAAATGACAGCACAACTCCCTCCCTCCTGGCAGAGATGGAGCCATCTAGATTTTCAGTCTACGGGAGAAGTCAATAAGTACATGACAGGACTAATTATCAGAAATCCCAGCATTGCCTGAAGACAAAACATCATAGAGGCCCCATATATCAATGCTATATCAGTGAAACAAAGACTGGCAACACTGAGAAAAATATATAAAACACCAGTAGAAACATTTATACATTTTCATAAAACGATACAGTAAAAATGACAAAACAAACCATTGTATTTTTTCTATGTTGAGTTATACAGAAAGAGAAAATATGATAAAAGGAGACTTACAGAAGACAAACAGGAAAACGTGCAAGTACATCGTCCCAAGCAACACTTTCATAATCAATATTTTGATATCTGGTGATAATGTGAGCAGAGACTAAACCTCCAATAATGACATCTCCCTCCTGGTAATATTCATACTCAAACCTTGGCCTTGCCATATCAAGTGCACAAGCAGATGTTGAGCTCCGGGTCAATACGACTCCATAGGATGTGATAGGAAGGACGAGGATCAGCAGGTAACAGACACAGAAGAGCGGAGAACATCTCATGTCACACAGCAGATCCTCTCAGTCACCGGCAGATCTGCCCAGGAGGAGACACAATCACCAGAACTTTATACACATCGACTGAGACCGATTTACACTACAGAACAAAGAACGGAAGAATAGAAACATCGACTGAGACCGATTTACACTACAGAACAAAGAACGGAAGAATAGAAACATGGACTGAGACCGATTTACACTACAGAACAAAGAATGGAAAAATAGAAACATCGACTGAGACCGATTTACACTACAGAACAAAGAATGGAAGAATAGAAACATCGACTGAGACCGATTTACACTACAGAACAAAGAATGGAAAAATAGAAACATCGACTGAGACCGATTTACACTACAACAAAGAACAAAGAAAATGGAGAAAATAGAAAAAGAACGGGAATAGAAACATCGACTGAGACCGATTTACACTACAGAGCAAAGAACGGGAATAGAAACATCGACTGAGACCGATTTACACTACAGAACAAAGAACGGAAGAATAGAAACATCGACTGAGACCGATTTACACTACAGAACAAAGAACGGGAATAGAAACATCGACTGAGACCGATTTACACTACAGAACAAAGAACGGAAGAATAGAAACATGGACTGAGACCGATTTACACTACAGAACAAAGAACGGAAGAATAGAAACATCGACTGAGACCGATTTACACTACAGAACAAAGAACGAAGAATAGAAACATGGACTGAGACCGATTTACACTACAGAACAAAGAACGGGAATAGAAACATCGACTGAGACCGATTTACACTACAGAACCAAAGAACGGAAGAATAGAAACATCGACTGAGACCGATTTACACTACAGAACAAAGAACGGAATAATAATAACTTCAGTCTGAAAATATGAGATCTATATCTGAAAGTGTAACTGATCTAATAAAGTTGGTTTATTCTTCTATTTTATATTCAGTGCACTTTCTGTAATTCAGAATTACTTGTATTCATTTTAAAGCTATACTTCCCTAAAATATATATTTTTTTTTCTGCTAAAATGATATTTTTACATTACAGGATGGAAAGTGAATGTTGAATAGGGATAAGTCTTTCAATATTCACTCTGATTTGTTGTTTTTCTTGACCCTCAAACTTACTCTGCTAGGGAAAATACAAACAAAAAATTGGTAAATGAGTAAAATAGTTCTTATGGCATCAAAAGAGTTTGGAAGGGCATGCTGACTAACAGTGCAGACTGACAACTCATGGGGCCCCCAGGCAAAAGGGGATCATGGGGCCCCTGTGTCCTCACCCAAACTCAAACTACACCCAAGAAAGCCTATGAAAGGTATTCATGGGGCCCCCTACTGACCCCGGGCCCTCGGGCAATGCCTGTGAGCATGAATGGTCAGTCTGCCCCTGCTGACTAAGCATCTGTATTTTTTCAGAATTACTGAAACCCGTAGCACTCCATTGTACTGGACTGGTAGATCATTTCTGCAGTTTTTCTAACTGTTTAAATATGTCACTACCTGTCAAAGCACCCAGTTTCCCCTTCCACTCCCCACAAGACCCCCATCAACAACACGTATGTATGTGGGAATATGTAACCAACAACTGGCATCTTGCACATAGTTCCCACATCTCATCACCTCCTGTGTATGAGGTGCCAGGCAATCAGAACCCTCTCTGTGACTGGTGTGTGTATTCCCTCACCCCTTCCCTAAATGCCAAGGTCTGGCAATACAGTAAGGATCAAGCACTCACTGAAGAAGCCTGATGGTCCCCGGCAGCTGGTGAGTTGGTCTGGGTGATGGAAGACTGGTCCAGGATGGGCTCCCTCAGGTCCACCTGCCCTTGATCTATCCATTAAATAGTTAGGACCACAGAATATCGGGGTGCCGTGATATGGCTCTGTGGCTTATGTATGTATTTGCATACTGTTAGACAGGCTAATTCGGTTGTTGGCAAGCTGGCTGGCAAGTTGACCAGGGACTTCCTTTTCTCATTTTTCTTTTGATTTATGTAGAAGGAGGCCTGGTGGAGTCCATGATATACACATGCTTGTCTTGACTTCTCTGGCTAGATGGTCAAAACCTTTAATTACCTTGGTGGTGGGATCACCTTGATGCCTCCTTGGAGTTATTGGTGTTACAGCACTTTATTGCACAGAATTTGCTTTGTGTCTCAAAGGACTTCTTTTTTATGGTGAATTCACATTTGGACTCACATTAATTCGGACTTCATTTGAATTTGAATTTTTTTACTTATGTTTATTTATTGTTCGTTTATGGATACTGTGACATTATAAAAGGCAAGGTGATTGATGGAGCCATTCTGCTCTCTGATCAGCTCTATGGTCAGCCAACGGAACTTCCGGCTGCATTCTCGGATTCCCCTGTGGGACACGAGAGCCCAAGAAAACTGTGGAGGGGGGGGAATGTCCCTTCCAGCTGCTTATAAAAACAATTCAGCAGCTAATTGGCCACTAGGATTGCTTTTACATGAAAGTCGACCGCCAGCTGAAAAAAAAAATACAAGGATGATGCCAGGCATCATCCCGGGATAACCACTCAAAGTCCAGCAATGTACCAGTACATTGCTGGTCCATGTTGGGCATATATGTAACAGCAGAGAACACGGGCATATGATGAATCGGGTCTGTGGACCAATGTGACTGCAATTAATTATTTTCTGTAATGTCCATGATGGGAGTTGAAAATGTCCCCCAGCACTGCAATCTGAAGAACTCAGGCATGTTGATCTAAACCCAACCACTTACATCTCATAGAAGCTTTAAAATGGCAGCATTACCATCAAAGTCTATTCATATTCCAATGATTAGTTTTCATGAAAATAGCAGCTGATGATACTGTTATAAAACCCTTGTTTGGAATCTTTTAATAATGGGGTGAAAATGCTCTGCCCACAATTCCTGCCTATATATCACCCTGGTACAGTTGCAAGAAAAAGTATGTGAACCCCTTGGGATTACGTGGAGTTTTGCATGAATTGGGCATAAAATGTGCTCTGAAAGTCATCTAAGTCACAACAATAGAAGATTACAGTCTGCTGAACATAATACTACACAAACATTAGATGTTGCCATGGTTTAATTGCACATAACATGTAAACATTCACAGTGCAGGGAGGAAAAAGTATGTAAGGCCCTAGCTTAATGACTTCTCCCAGAGCTAATTGGAGCCAGGAGTGAGCCAACCTTGACTCCAATCAGTGTGATGATATTGGATGTGTTGCTGACAGCTGTCCTGCCCTTAAAAAAACACACACCTGTTTTGGGTTTACTGGTTTCAAGAAGCACTGTCTGATGTGAACCATGCCTCGCAGAAAAGAGCTCTCAGAAGACCTACGATCAAGAATTGTTGACTTGCATGAAGCTGGAAAGGATTACAATAGTATCTCCAAAAGCCGTGATGTTCATGTGTCACGGTAAGACAGACTGTCTACAAAATTTCTTGCAACTGTACATGCTTTCCGAAACTATCTGTACTGATGCACATTGCCCAGACATCTTCCACTCTTGCCATTTAACCACTTGCCCTCCAGAGGATTTCCCCCCTTCCTGACCAGCGTTACAGCGCTGTGTTACTTTAACTGACAATCGCGCAGTCATGCAACGCTTCACCCAAATGAAATTTATGTCCTTTTTTCCCACGAATTGAGCTTTCTTTCGGTGGTATTTGATCACCTGTGCATTTTTTTTTTTTTTTGCGCTATAAACAAAAAAAGGCTGACAATTTTGAGAAAAAAAACAATATTTTGGACTTTTTGCTATTAAACATGTCCAATAAAAAAATAAATTTAGGGCAAAATTTATTCTGCTCCATGTCTTTTCTAAAACAAAATCCCAATCAGGGGTGGACTGACAACTCATGGGGCCCCCGGGCAATAGGGGATCATGGGGCCCCTGTGTCCTTGCCCAAACTCAAAAAAGCCTATGAAAAAGGTACCAGGGGCATCTCATGGGGCTCCCTACTCGGGTAGTGCCCGAGTTTCCAAATGGTCAGTCACCCCTGATCCCAATACGTGTAAATTAATTGGTTTACGTGAAAGTTATAGAGTCTACAAATGGTATATATAATGGGATTTTTTTTTTTCTACTAGTAATGACGGCGATCAGTGACTTTTAAGAACTGTGGGGCTTTCTGACACTGAGGTGGAACTTTACTTGGTGTCACTGATATTCAAGGGCGGACTGACAACTCATGTGGCCTCCGGGCAATAGGGGATCATGGGGCCCCTGTGTCCTTGCCCAAACTCAAAAAAACCTATGGAAAAGGTACCAGGGGCATCTCATGTGGCCCCCTACTGACCCAGGGCCCTCGGGCAGTGCCCAAATTTCCAAATGGTCAGTCTGCCCCTGCTGATATCTCCAGTGACACCAATACAGTGATCAGTGCTAAAAAAAAAAAGCACCGACACTGTACTAATGGCACTGGGCAGGAAGGGGTTAATGTGAGAGGTGATCAAAGGGTTACCTATGTGCTGGGAGTGTTTTACTAGGGGGTGGGGGTTTTTCACTGTAATCACACTGATCGGGATGGCTGTGTAATCATTGGGCGTCGGTGGGTAATTACCTGCTGGAACCTGGTGATCGACATCCGCGGCGCGTGCCCCCTACCCGGAAATGCAAAATCACATATATATATGTGATTCTGCGCACAGGTGCTGCCCTGTAGCAGTATATCTGCTGTAGCGCAGTCCTTAAGCGGTTAAAGTGGATCTTCACCCTAAAGCCAAATTTCCTGCTAAGGACGTTTAAAAATAAATCAGTTGCGGAAAAAATGAAAAATGGTTATATCAGCCCCAGATTTCAATCCTTCCAAGAGGCATGAGTGATATTTCCGAACATCACTGGTGCCCCTGGGATAGCTGGACCCTTGAAATCCAGTGAGAATGTCCTCCATCAATGGTCCTCTTGTTTCCACTCCATAATCCTCTATGTTGTAATCTTGCACAGAGATCTCTCTTTTATTACATGTATATACTGTACAGGGCCGGAGTTACAGCAGTGATCAGAATTTTACATACCCCTGGCAGAATTTGTAAGATATGCACCATTTTTTAGCTTTTATTGTATTTTTAATGGAATTTGAATTATCCAATCCGGCATCCCAGAATAACACAATCCTAGTTAGTGAAGGGATTACCAGACAAATATCTTTGTAGTCATAATGCACTTCCTGACCTTTGAACTCAGGTCATCGGGCTTACAAGGCCAATAAGGGCCATTTGGATGAGCCAACCCTCCTCTCTATAATAGGTCACAGCGGCCATAGTGACCCGGGCTCTATCTGTGATAGGGAGATATAAGGACTGCTGCTGATCAAGTGCACAGGAAGAGATCAGTGTAGGGATTGTAGGGACTGGCAGGTCTGGTAAAATAAACCCTTACTGAATGTCATGGAGGGATTGAGAGAGAATTTATGGAATTATAACTTCATTAGTTGTATCTTTGCTTATTATAACATGTCTATGTAATGTACGGCTGACATGTCATTAGGAACCTTTCCCCTAACTCCACACCATTCCATGTCTTGTCAGATGAAGTTATAATCTGTCTGATCTTTGTAATATCATGTCATGTCTGTCAGTGGAAACTGTTATCATATCAATCTGGACTTTGTCATGTGATCGTGTATTACTGATTCTGGGAATCCCCATCTCCATGGTATGATAATTCATTAACTCCAGGTAGCCTATAATGCTCAGGGTATAAAAAGAGATTTTGGGCAGCACAGTGGCTAAATGGTTAGCACTTCCGCCTGGCAGTACTCGGGTCGTTGGTTCGAATCCCAACCACAGCAACACCTGCCTAGAGTTTGCATGTTCTCCCTGTGTCTGCGTGGGTTTCCTCTGGGTACTCTGGTTTCCTCCCACACTCCAAAGACATGCTGGTAGGTGAATTGAATCCTGTCTAAATTGTCCCTAGTATGTGTATGTATGAATGTGAGTTAGGGACCTTAGATTGTACGCCCCTTGAGGGTTAGGGACTGATGTGAATGTACAATATATATGTAAAGTGCTGCGGAAATTGACGGCGCTATATAAGTACCTGAAATAAATAAATAAAAATTTCATTCAATAAAAAAGAAGAGAAATGAGATCCTTGTGAAGTCCGTACTCTGTGACATCCAGGGGCGGACTGACAACTCATGGGGCCCCCGGGCAATAGGGGATCATGGGGCCCCTGTGTCCTTGCCCAAACTCAAAAAAGCATATGAAAAAGGTACCAGGGGCATCTCATGGGGCCCCCTACTGACCCCGGGACCTCAGGCAGTGCCCGAGTTTCCAAATGGTCAGTCCGCCCCTGGTGACATCACCATACACTGCCTGCCAATTTCCTCATCAATCACATCATTGTACACCGCCTGACAATTTCTTCATCAATCATCACCGTACACAACCTGACAATTTCATCATCAATCACATCACCCTACACACCTGACAATTTCCTCAGCAATCACATCACCGTACACACCTGATAATTTCCTCCTCAATCACATCACTGTACACCACCTGACAATTTCCTCCTCAGTCACATCATCGTACACCACCTGACAATTTCCTCCTCAATCACATCACCGTACACATACATAAATAAAAATTTCATCCAATAAAAAAGAAGAGAAATTAGATTCTTGTAAAGTCTGTACTCTGTGACATCCAGGGGCGGACTGAATCACATCACCGTACACCACCTGACAATTTTCTCCTCAATCACATCACCGTACACCGCCGGACAATTTCCTCCTCAATCACATCATCGTACACCACCTGACAATTTCTTCATCAATCACATCACCGTACACCGCCTGACAATTTCCTCATCAATCATCACCGTACACCGCCTGACAATTTCCTCATCAATCACATCACCGTACACCACCTGACAATTTCCTCATCAATCACATCATCGTACACCACCTGACAATTTCCTCCTCAATCACCGCCTGACAATTTCCTCCTCATTTACATCATTGTACACCACCTGACAATTTCTTCATCAATCACATCACTGTACACCACCTAACAATTTCTTCATCAATCACATCACTGTACACCGCCTGACAATTTCCTCATCAATCACATCACCGTACACCGCCTGACAATTTCCTCATCAATCACATCACCGTACACCACCTGACTATTTCCTCATCAATCACATCATCGTGCACCACCTGACAATTTCCTCATCAATCACATCATCGTGCACCACCTGACAATTTCCTCCTCAATCACCGCCTGACAATTTCCTCCTCATTTACATCATTGTACACCACCTGACAATTTCTTCATCAATCACATCACCGTACACCACCTGACAATTTCCTCATCAATCACATCACTGTACACGCCTGACAATTTCCTCATCAATCACATCACCGCCTGACAATTTGATGGGGGAGGGAGAGAATAGGTAAGGAGTAGAGGGGATGTTAGATTGGGTAGCTGCAGATAAAATAAATCACATTGTTTTATACGATTCAGAAAGATAGCTATAAAGCTTAGGATTTAATATGTGCAAGATCATTTAATGGGGCAATATGGGGGTCATGAACCTGAAAGGTAGGTTATGATGTTGAGTCTCAATCCATCTAAATGTGCATTAAATGCGTCACTGGTGGATAGGGTGTCTTTTGAGATAACATTGTGTCCAATTATTTAATCAGGAGGTGTAGGATGTTCATGAAATATTAGGTGATAGGTAGTGGTGGTTTTGAAATGACTCCAACAAGCCCAAGTCTTCCTAAATCTCTTGGGATGGTCTTTTGCTACAGAAATCAATTCCTCCATTTCCTCAATTTTGTTGATCCTAACAAACCGTTCTCGAATAGTGGGAACATGTATTGTGCGCCAGTGGACTGGGATACATTGTTTTGCTGTGTTTATCATGTGCATGGCGAGTGATTTACGGTATGTCCTGAATGGATGTGTGGAGTGGTGGAGCAAGAATTGTACGGGGGAGAGATCTAGGGAGTACGTAGTTAGGGAGAGATCTAGGGAGTACATAGTTACTTGTGTGATTATGGGTTGGATTTTCCCCCAGAAAGGCTGCAGCAATGGGCAGTCCCACCAGATATGCAAGAGTGTACCCGTCGCCTGGTGACATCTCCAACACGAATCTGAGATGTTAGGGTCAAATTTGTGAAGCAGGGACGGAACTCTGTACCATCTAGAATATAGTTTAAAATTGTTTTCTTGTGTGGAGACACATATGGACCCTTTATGTATATGGTCGTAAATGTGACCCCAGTCTTCTGGCGATAGTTGGAGTTGTAAGTCAGAGCTCCAGGCCTTGCAAGGTCAGTGGGGTTTTCGAGGCGTGTGTAGAGCTTAGATATAACATGTCTCTGAGGAGAATCTGTTGAGCAAAGTTTTTCAAATGGGGTAAGATGTCTAGTGTAATCTTTTAAGTGTGAGGAGCTATGTATAAAGTATTGGAGCTGTCTATACATCCACGGAGTCAGGGTTAGGGATGGCCATTTGTTCAAAAGGTGGTCTCTGAGTAAGAATGTCCCATCTTTGAAGAGTTGATGCAGATTCAAATTGTCTGGGGGATAGACCCGGCGAGAAAGGCACGAGACATACCGGGGGGGGGAGTCTGGGTTCATTTTTATAGGAGTGAGTGGACCAGGAGTTGAAAAAAAAATCTGTTTTCTGACTTATCAGATAACACGATAGAGTAGGGCCTATAAGAAGGTGTTCCCTAAACTCAGACGGGATGTGGGAATTTTTCAGCCAAGGGGAAGTGGCGAACGGGGTCCCCAAAAATGCAGCTTCCAAATTAACCCAAGCCTTACGGTTGCGGTTCGTAGACCAATCTACTATTCTTGCCATGTGACAGGCTCTGTAGTAGCGGGTGATATCAGGCAGTCAGATACCTCTGCCCGTCTTAGGCATGGTAAGTTGTTCAAAACCGATTCTGAGGCATTTATTACACCATAGAAATGAGATACATAATGTTTTATAGGACTTAAAGAAGGAATTGGGCAGTTTGATTGGAATTGTTTGCATCAGGTATAGTAGTCTGGGAAGCACGTTCATCTTAAGAATAGCTGCTCTGCCAAACCAAGAGAAAAATGGTTTGTCCCATGTCTGTAGATCTTTGGTGATGCTACGTAAAATGGGTAAAAAGTTTTTGGCATAAAGTTCTGTAAGGTGAGTCGGTAATTGGATTCCCAAGTATGTGATGGCCTCAGACTGCCATGCGAAAGGAAAGTTCGTTTTCACCTGTCTGACCATATCTTGGGTTAGGGAAACATTGAGGGCCTGGGATTTATTGAAGTTAATTTTAAAATTGGCCAAATACTGGAATAATTTGAAATTGTGTAGTAAGTTAGGTAGCGTAATCTGTGGGTCTTTCAGGAAAAGTAAGATGTCGTCGGCAAAGGCAGATATTTCATGGATTTTGCCATTGATTAAAATTCCTTTGATGTTGTCATTCTGTTTAATGCAGTTCAAAAAAGGTTCCAAGGTGAGAATAAATAGGAGGGGGATAATGGACATCCCTATCTGGTCCCATTGCTTATCGAGAAGGCATCTGAAAGGAGGCCATTGACTCTCACTTTAGCCGTTGGTGTTGTATATAAAGATATGATAAAGTTCAAGAGACGTGGAGGAAGCCCAAGGCCAGTCAGAACGGCCTCCATGTAGTCCCATGCCAATCTGTTGAAGGCCTTCTCAGCGTCTAGAGAGAGGAAGAAGACAGATTTTTTCTTCTGTGTCAACCAATGATGTATATTTATCGCCCTGATCGTATTGTCTCTTGCCTCTCTACCGGGTACAAACCCTACCTGGTCAATGGAAATAATGGGGTCTATGATGTGTAGTAAATGATTGGCTAGTATTTTGGCAAAAATCTTTAGATCCACATTCAGTAGGGAGATTGGACTATAGTTAGCTGGCGATGTCTGGTCCTTGTTTTCTTTCTGTATAAGTGTGATGTGGGCTTCAGAAAGATGGTGTATGGACTCTCCTGGGGTATCTAGTGAATTGAAGGCCTTTAGGAATGGGCGTGCAAGGATGTCTATGAGGGATTTGTAATATGTGGTTATAAGTCTGTCTGGACCCGGGCTTTTACCTGGTTTAATTGTGCGATAGCCTGTTGTAGTTCTGTCAGTGTCAGAGCTCCATCTACTTCTCTTGCTTGTGATTGGGAGAGAAAAGTCTGGATAATGACCTTACGTGGTCTAGTATCCCCTGTCGGTTTTGGGGCTAAGGGTAGGTTGTAGAGGGTAGTATAATATTTCCCAAATTTGGCTGTAATATCCACAGAAGTTTTAAGTAAGTGACCTTGATGGGAGTTGAGTTGATGAATGGTGCAAGCCACTTTTTTAGATTGCAAGACCTTGGCTAAAAATTTGCTGCTCTTATTTCCATGTTCATAAAAGAGTTTCTGAGATAAAGTAAAATTACGCTTGGTTTTCTTTTCCACTATGTCTCAAAGTTGCCTGATCAAGTTTGGTCACAGAGTTTACAGCCTTGGAGCGTTTATGTGAGCATTCAAGTTTACGTACTTTATGAAGTATAGAAGTAAAAGATGCCTGAGCTATGCGTTTTGGAGAAGCAGTGATTGAAAGAAGCAGCCCACGTATCACACATTTGTGTGCTTCCCATTGAATAAGAGGTGTCATTTCCGGGGGACATATTTTCCTTAAAATAATTGGTCAGAGATTCACGAATTTGGAGGGTAACTGATGAGTCCGTAAGGAGAAAGGGATCTAATCTCCATGTTTTGGACGTAGGTGGGGCATCGGGAAGATGTATGGTCATCATGATCGGGTGATGGTCAGAAAGAATCATTGGTTCAATAGAGGCTGACTTTAATGTGTATAAGTCTTTTTGTGAAAGAAAGAGATAGTCGATTCTGGAATGACGCTTGCGAGGTGCAGAGAAAAAAGTGTAGTCTTTGTCAGAGAGGTGTAGAGTACGCCATGTATCATGGAGAAGAAGGTCGTTCAGTTCAATTTTAATCTGTTTAAGTGCTCGGAAGGGTTTCGATGAAGAGCCTGTCGAAGTGTCTTCCAACGGATTCAGTGCTACATTAAAATCGTCCCAAAGAATCAGGATTGAAATGTTGCAAATGTTTTAGAAAACTTACGGAAAAAGCTCACTTGTGCCGTATTGGGGCTGTAAATGTTGGCTAAAGTAAGCAGTTTGTTGTAGAGGGTGCCTTTAAGGAAGAGGAACCTTATCTCCAGATCCTCGAGAGAATCAGTAATAGAGAGAGGGAGTGTTTTGGAGATCAAAATGGACACACCTTTTGCTTTCACCTCTGTGTTAACTGAATGGT